GAGTCAGAAAACAGCTCAAACAACAAAAATGAATCAAGACAACTACATCAAATACAATTGAGAAAATCCACAGTACCGATCTGCATTCTGCACAACTACATCAAGTATACTTTGCAAAGAGAAACAGATTCACTTACACAAGGCTGATACATTATTTACAGGATCCAAATATCAAAAATTTCAAGTGAAAATCATACAAAAAAATTCGTCAGAAATGCTTATACACTTTTATACAATATTATACACTTTTATACAAAGAGGTATATTATATATATAGTTGTATAAAACTGTATAAAAATGAAGAGGGAGAGGAGGAGGAATAAGAAATGTATCAGCCTTGTATAAAATAATGTATAAGAGATGTTTATACACTATTATATGTTACTTATACAATATTATATACTATTATACAAATGAATCATATTAATGGAGCTTCACTAGTTCTTCTTCTTCTTTGGGCATCTTCTGAAATTCAACTCAAATCTACCTCAAATCTGCTCCAAATCACTTCAAATTTGAGTTTTGAACTCCCCTTGACGATCCCAATCAGTTGGGCCAACACCCAATCCAAACAACTAACAAAATCGAAAAATCCAATTTTGAAATTGAAGCTTCGAATGACCTTTAATGGTGACTCCAAAATAGTAATTCTCTTAAGTGGTATTTTTTCTTCTCATCTTAATAGTGATTATCAACTTTGAATATGGAAGGAGAATTGAAGAATATATATAATGGTAGAGAAACTTTGGGGTGCAAAGTCGTGAAAGAGGAGGAAGAAGAAGAACGAAGAAAAGAAAAAAATAGGGTGGGCTAACTGGTGAATTTTTTTTTCCAGATTATATACAACCTGGGCTATATCAGGTAAGAGCTTCAAATGTGGGCCATTTTTTGATGGACTGTTGGGCCAAGTGACAAGGAGCGTAATTTCCCCTAAATAATTTTAGTTTATAAGATTAAACTCATTATTTAGTGTAATTGTGCCTTTTCGTGGTATACTAGCGTTGGTCTTCTCTCACATGGAGAGATAAGTATTTATGAATTAGTTATTGAGGGGAAAACTACCCCCACCACAAGACAATGCAAGATTTGTCGTTTAAAAGCTTTAAACGGTTGTTAATATAGTTCTGTCCAAGTGGAAAAGCTGAGATCCTAAAATTTTTTTAACATTTGGGGTTGATTTCTTATGCACTTTGTACGTAACCTTCTTACCATTCCGGAGATATTACATGTTGTTTTGATGATAATTTGAATATTGTTATTATTGTAACGGTGGATAATAGTACTGTAATCATTTTGTTCGTTTAAAACCACTAAAACAGGCCACCGGATGAGAATTAAAAAAAATGGAGATTCACTAACAAGAGTAATGTGTTAAGCGATTTGTTCTATTTCTCCAATTTAACTAATTACATGTTTTGTTCTAGTTGAATCATTCTTTGGTTTATAAAGTAATTTCTTTTCCATGTCACCGAAATCTTGAGAGCATTTGAATAATTACGGGGAATTTTTAGAAACCACCATAGTTTAGTGGATATTTACCAAGCACAACTAGTGTATTGATAATTACTATTAGTAGCAACAATTATGTTGCTAGGCGCTTGTATCAATATTGTTGTATCAATTTGTTGGATCAAAACGCATATAGCCGAACTCAAATTTCGCTACATCAGTCAGTTGCCATGATGTACCAAACGAATACAGTTTCGATGGAATAGATGCATCAACTGTATTCGGTCGCGTATAATAGTTGTATCAATAAATACAATTTTGATGGAAAAGCTATATTAAATGTATTTTTTTGCGCATAGTGGTTGTATCAATGAATACAATTTTAATATAAAATTTGTATCAACTGTATTCGTTCATATACACTTGCATACACTCGAATTTCATTCTGAAATTTTATCCAAACCTACATCAATTTTGCATCAAATATGTATCAAATCATCCTAAATTTGAGATATAAGCTCCCCAAGATGTTCTCAAATTTTTGAAACCACACCTAGTCCGAAATTTCACACCTAATGGCTGTATAAATGAATACAATTTTGATGGAACAACTATATCAACTATATTCGTTCACATACACTTTGTATACACTCGAATTTCATTATGAAAATTTATCCAAAATCACGTCAAATCTGTACAAAATTATCCTAAATATGACATATAAGGTCCCCAAGATGTTCTCAAACTTTTGGAACTATACCCAATTTGAAATTATTTTAATTTTTCAAACCCAAGTGTTCCCACAACACAAACACACACAAAGCGATAAGTAACTAACACAATAATATTTTACGTGAAAAACTCCCAGCTCACGGGATTGAAAATCACAACCTACACTTGTAGGATTTCAACTTCACTAACCGAGCAACTTTAGATTATAACCTATTGTAACCTAGGAATTAAACTCTTAAAGTCTTAATCTCTCACCTACTTGCAATAACTATATTGCAAGCCTTATTCTAGGAATTAAACTCTTAATCCCTCACCTACTCACAATACCTAAGTCTCTTTGTAATAACTCTATTACAAAGCTAACCACTTGACTAACTATAGTCAAAACAACCACACAGAAGATGGTTTAAGAGATGTCCTACGAAATATTTCTAAACAAACTGAGTAGGAATTACAATTTATAACACAATACAAAGACACAACAATACTAAAGGACATACGACATAATCAATGTTGGGATTTAGTCCTTTTGTTATGTTGCTACTTTGTTCTTCAATGCCTTGGAGAGAATGAAGGCGGCTGCACACTTGATAGAGAAAATCAATTTTAGGTTTGCAAGTGCGTGTTGAAATCCCTTGCCTCATGTTGATAATATAAGAGTGAGGTCATCAAGATGATGCAAGGGAGTGACCAACACACTGCATGCTTCATCATTACTGCTGTATTGTTGCGCGTACAGTTTAGCAGCTTTAACCGTTGTTAGATTTGACTTGTACTGTCACCAGAGGAACTAATCTCTATCTGTTCCCCTTGTCGTTCCCTTATCTGATTTCACTAGAACTTATGCCGGATATTTGAATTGTTGTTCTGAGCATTGAGAGGCTTTGTATCAAGTTCCCTATCTGGTTCTCATATGAAGTTTGTTAAATCATCAAAACAAAATGCACATACCTTATCATAAGTGTAGTTTACTGTTTAATTAGTAGAGAGAAAAAAGAGAGAAAAACTTTGGTGAGGCATTGTATCACAATTATCACGAGTGTGCCTAGAACCAAAAGAGAGTCAGTGTTCGGAGATAACATCAACACAATTGTACGAAAGTTATTTAAGGAGCTTTGAAGAGAGAACACCCTTGCATCCCAAGGGAACTGGAGTAAGATTCACATTGAATCTGAACCAGTATAAAAATTCTGGGTGTCTTTAATTCTGCATTTAGTTCTATCTCTAACTTTATGCTGCCGTTACTTTCAGTCGACTATTTGGTAAACTAGTCAACTACTTAGTTACAAAAAGAAAAATCGACAATTCACCCCTCTTGTACTTTCAAGAAGGAAATTCAACATCTTTATTTTTCATTTATCCAAAACTCTAATTTATTGTTAGTATCCTGTTGAATCTACAAGGACCCCTTAATTGTATTCTCGTTAAGAACTGACTTTAGTTTAAATGAGCCTCAACTATATTCCTTTTGTTAGGTAAACAAATACAACAGTGTAAGCCATTTTTCCTTTTCCTTTTCTTCTCCTTTTTTTTCTTTTTCTTTTTATTTTTTTACTTTGCCTTTACGCTCTGTTTCGAATCTAATAGATGGAGTGTAAACCAAGAAGGAGAACTGACGGTAAAGGATAATAAATTTGCATACATCAAACATATTTTATTTGGTTCTACGAAGAAAAACCAAGAGAAAAAAAAGACCTTCGAATTTGCAAGGGTTTAAAAGCACTAGCAGCAGCAGTTCTTTTTTTAATAGTATCTTTTAATTTACGCGATTCAATAGCCAAGATTGTACCTACACACATGCAATAGGTGTTTACACCAATCCAATAAACATATGATATATATCTTTATAAATATACTATACTTAGTTAATGAATACACATTTTTATCTTGCATTATCACTTAACCATAATGAATTAGTATAGTTTGATGTAAACATTTGCTGTGCAAGTAAGTTTATATTTCCTATTGTTTAATCTTCATGGTCTGATGATGCTAGTTTTGGAAAATTGTGAGGAAATTAGATTTCAAGAAATTTTAAATTTGAATTTAGATTGATATAAATGAAAATTTCATATCTTTTTCGACATTTAGCAGAAAAAACGAGAACATGCTCATTACTTAATAGAACTTATTACACCCTTATATAAATGAGAGGTCAAAGCCTATTGTTTTGCAACTTAATAAGACCTAATACACTTATTGTAGAGATCAAAATTGCAGTTTAATGGTTGCAATTTTATGTTACATCACTTAAGTATAAGATCGAATTTCGATTAAGGGCTTTGGAGTTTATTATTTGCAACTCTATCTTATATTTTTTTAGTTTCCCATCCGGTGTTCGGTACCCGCATTGGAACCTGACTATATTTGGATTTGCGCCGCATAAGGTTCCATTAGGGGGAAAACGCTCCCTACCAATTTTTTTTCTATAATCAGGGAAGAGCAGCCTCATCCTGCGCACCACATCCTTTTGTGATAACTATCACTTGGCTGGATATAAGGTTCAAATCTCAACTATTAAGGGTATTTCTTTGTTCTTTTTGCACCTTCTCCTTCTTCACGAGCCTACTCTGTAAAAAGAGTTAAAGAAAAGGAACAGGAAAGAATTAAAAAAAAAGCATTGTAAAAATTTGTTAGGTTATGTCTTACTAAATATGGATTAATAACACTAGAAAGAGGATAGAAAGCGATTAACAATTACTCCACCATATATACTAAAAAATAAAAAACCAATAACTGCAAGCATAGTCTGTTAGTAAATTTACTATTATCCATTATCAACGTTCCATTTGTTCCTCAAACAAAGACAGATAACGCCACCTAAACCCAATAAAAATAGTTACAGTTGTTTCCGGCATTAGTTTTCTACTCGCTAAATAAGAAAAGCATCTTCTCCAAAACACCCGCACCCCCCCCCCCCCCCCCAACATTACACAGCTACTTCACAACTCACCACACGACATCATCTCCATTCTTCTTCCTCTTTCCCCAACAATCCTACCGCTTCTTTAACACACTCTGTAGACCCATAATCATCAGATCTGAAGTTCCCAAAGTTTAACCCCCACATTTCAATACTGTCTGATCTCCTCTCCCATTTTCCCAAATACCCGCCAGATGTTTGTGTAATTGCCTCTTAGAAAAAATACGGTTAATTGTGGGGCATTTTCATATCCCAGATGGGAATGCCTGCAAAACGATGAGCAAAACCAGAGACGAAGAAGAAAACGAGGAGGACCAGAGCTTTCACGACTCACTTGACCGTTTACTCTCTTCTACTAACACGTCTTGCTCTTCTTCTCCTTCTTCTGACAACGAACAAGACGATATTAAAGATCTTAGTTTTGACTTGGGTTCCCCACTAAATTATGGTGTTCCGGACCCACTCCCTGTTCCTCGGTTTCCTATGGGTGTCTCCAACAACTATGATGTTTGGATCTCTGAACCCTCCTCCGTTGAAGAACGCCGTATTCGCCTCCTTAGTCAGATGGGTCTCAGCCGTGACCCTTCTCTCCTCCGCCACAGACCTTCACTCTCCCAGTCTTCAGCTGCCGACTACGGTGCCGCCAGCGACAGACTGGAGATTTTCGGCAGATCGGCCTCAGCTAATCATTTAGTTGCTGCCGGCGGTGGTGAGGTTATTGCTAATACTAGTATTAATAATAATTCCAAAACTAGTAATGTTATTACTAAGAGTAGTAGTGCTTGTGGGATCGTTCGATCAAAATCGGACAGTGATCGGAATTCCTCTAATTGTTGTTCTACTTCTTCTTGTTGTCGTTCAGTTCATAAAAATACTGAAGTTATTTCCATGAATTCTACTGCCTTGTCATCATCGTCAGTACAAGTAAATATGGTCAATGGGGTTGGCGGTATAGTTGTACATAATAATAATCGAAACCGTAGTAAAAGTCTCAGCGAGGATCTATTGCATAATGGTGGCAATGGATCTCCGAAAAAGAAGCCACCCACTGGGAAGCTGAGAACTGATAATGGGACCTGTAATTTGTTGACAAATAGTGAGGTGGAGGAAGGGTTGGTGGAATCAACTGGAGATCTTGGAACTGAAGAGCAGAATGTTTGCACAATAAAGAATCTTGATAATGGGAAGGAGTTTGTGGTTAAGGAAGTTAAGGAAGACGGAACGTGGAAAAAGGTTAAGGAAGTGGGTACAGGAAGGCAGTTGACAATGGAAGAGTTTGAGATGTGTGTTGGGACTTCACCAATTGTTCAAGAACTAATGAGAAGGCAGAATGTAGAGGATGGGAATAAGGATAGTTTGGATTGTAATAATATGAATGAGGATGGTGAGACTGGTGGACCCAAGTCGAAGAGGAGGGGGAGTTGGTTGAAGAGTATCAGAAATGTGGCTGGTGCTATGACAGGTCATAAGGAGCGGCGTAGCAGTGATGAGAGGGATACATCATCTGAGAAGGGTGGCAGAAGGTCTAGTTCGGCAACAGATGATAGTCAGGATACTTCTTTTCATGGACCAGAAAGAGTACGGGCTCGGCAGTATGGGAAGTCCTGCAAAGAACTTACAGCACTGTATAAGAGCCAAGAGATACTGGCACATAATGGATCTATTTGGACCATCAAATTTAGTTTGGACGGGAAGTATCTCGCCAGTGCTGGTGAAGACTGTATAATACATGTCTGGCAAGTAACTGAATCAGAGAGGAAGGGTGACCTATTGCTGGATAAGCCAGAAGACGGGAATTTAAATCTCTTGCTTTTGGCGAATGGGTCTCCTGAGCCAACTACATTATCACCAAATGATGGCCACCTGGAGAAGAAAAGAAGAGGAAGATTGTCTATAAGTCGAAAATCAGGGAGCTTTGACCATGTTTTGGTACCAGAGACTGTTTTTGCACTTTCAGAAAAGCCTATCTCTTCATTTCAGGGGCATGTGGATGATGTGCTTGACCTCTCATGGTCCAAGTCTCAGGTTAGTTGGCACTATTTATTTTTATTCTTGGGCACGTTCTGGACCCTTGACTTACCTACGAAAAAGTTAAGCCTTCTTTACATTCGTTGATGCTAAACATTTCACTAATGTGAATATGCCAATATTCAGCTATCGAAGTTATTTGTACCTTGTCAAATCTCTTCAGATACTTTACTACCTATCAAATAACAATATATTCGAACAGTAAGTCAGTAGGAGTAAATGGCTTGTAATAGATGAGAAGCAGAGGCTGATATTTTCAATTCAGTCACAATAAAGATGATTCTTTTGGTCAGATGTCAGATAGTCAGTGTTTATATTTTATCAATTAACGTATTCCACTTGCCTTCATGTTCCGCTGATAACCTGTAAAATTGATCAAAACTTGCAATCTATTTGCCACTGGTTCAAGTTGATGGATAACTAATTCAGGGGTTGAGTGGTCTGCTGAATAATAGATTTATGTCATTGTGGACCTAGTAGCATGTAACAATCCTCACTTTACTGTGAAAGTTTTGCTGAAGGTATATGAGGATTGGTTCTTTAGGTGTTCTGGCAGTATGATATCATAGAGTTGCTTTGTGTGAGAGTACACAAAATGACGAAATGAAGAGTCACTAAATCTCTTTGTAAGATAATAGACGGTGGCCGGGCTTGACACTGGATGTCACTCTATTATCTGGATCTCAGCTTGTTAACAAGTTTTGTGCTTCTTGGCCGACCCCTTTGGTTGGGAAAACTAGTGTCTTTTATCATAGTTGCTTTGTCTCACCCATGGGTAAAAGGTTGATACCAAGAGAGTAACAGAGCTTCAGTTTATCCCATTATTCAGTATCTTGCATTAAGCTTTGAGCTTTCCCTAGTTAACTCCATTTAGCACTTATCCAATTGTTTCTTCCTTGTTTATGACACAAGTGAATATCTTGTAATTAGAATAAACGGCTGTGGTTTAATGAACAAAAGGTTTGATCTTGGTCCTTATAAAAACAAAAAACAAAAAAACAGTTGATTTAGCTGGTTGTATATCAAATGGCTGCATGCTGTTGTGGCTTGTGCCTTTTTTTTTTTATAAAAATTACTTAAACTAGCTTGCACCTTTTAATATAAATTGTTTATTAAAACAAGGCAGCATAATCTCTATCTTTGCACCATTTTCTTTCTTGTTTCTGTCTTCTGAGAATATTATCCAGATGCAGTTTTATGGTTATAGATGCTGGATGATTCTTTAAAGTTGCATAATTTAATGGTTTTATTCAATGACTCCTGATATTTGTAGTTCCTGATTAGTAGGAATCTTGGAAAATATGTTCCTTTTTATTTGGTTGGAGCCACAAGCCCATTATTTTCCTTGGGTTAATGAGCTAATTATGGTATCTGATACATTCTATCATTTTCCTTTCACAGCATTTGCTTTCATCGTCAATGGACAAAACAGTGCGGCTTTGGCATTTGTCTAGCAAGTCTTGTTTGAAGGTCTTCTCACATAGTGATTATGGTATGTGTATTCACTTTGAGTTATTATTTTCACCCTTCTGCTCCCATGGGAGCAATTTTTTAGTTTAATGAATATGAAGAGCAGTGTTTGTTAAAAAAAATTTTAAAGAACAATATGACCTAGAAATTACTTTGAATAGATGATTACGTAGGGTGGAACTTTTTCACTAATTGACTGATTGCAGTGTGCTCTTGATTTGCTTTCTTTGGCACAGTAACCTGCATCCAGTTTAACCCTGTTGATGATCGATACTTTATCAGTGGATCCCTAGATGCTAAGGTTCGTATATGGAGCATTCCTGAGAGGCAAGTTGTTGATTGGAATGATCTGCATGAGATGGTCACTGCTGCTTGCTATACGCCAGATGGTCAGGTGAGACTGTTAAACATAGAGCTTGCTGTGGTGTTATGTTGAACCAACTGGAAGTGCTTAGGTTTTGCATCGTTCCAATTTCAATTGCTAAGTTTTATTATTGTTTAAAGGGTGCATTTGTTGGTTCATACAAGGGGAGTTGTCGTCTCTACAACACATCAGGTTTGACTTATTGTCCCTCTTGTTCTTGTTCCCCCTCCTTCTCATGCTCCTTTAGAGGAAAGCTAAGCAATCTGCATGCTGACATTTTCTACCTCTCTGTTTCCAGATAATAAATTGCAGCAAAAAGCTCAAATCAATTTGCAGAATAAGAAGAAGAAGGCTCACCAGAAGAAAATTACTGGTTTCCAGGTAATTCTTAATTGATTGCTGTTAGATGCACTGGTTTTTGCCTCACTTGAGCTTTAGTGCTACTGCCTTCTTTTTCTCCACATATTATTGTTCGAAACTCAAAGGTTCTGTTCCCTTCTCATGTTAACTGGATATTCTGGTGCATAATGTGTGTATAGACACATATCTTTCAAATAACCTCAATGTAGGTTCTCTAAATTCGAGCAGAACAATTTTTGAAAGGTTCTTTCTTGATAGATGAAAAAATAAGTCTTTGTGCATGATGGGTTAAACACTAAAAGTAGGGAAGTAGGGCAGGACCAAGGCAGTGCCTATAGGGTCCTTGGTCTTTATTGGTTACAGAGATTGAAATCTGGCACTCTAAGATGTACATCCACTAGTCCTTTCTTCCCAATCAAGATGTTCTGCTTTAACTTCTTAAAGGTATTAAGGTAAAATATTTCTGGTGCCAAAGTGGAGCTAAAGTTGAATCTTCAGAGATTTTGAACTACTTGTATCATTAAAAGTTGAATCTTCAGAGATTTTGAACTACTTGTATCATTAAAAGTGTTCCCTGTTACTCTCTGGAAATATCCTTTTTCTGGCTAACTCCAAATAGCAAGTAGGACGTTAATATGCGACATATGGAATAATTGCTTTTGTCTGGATTAGTTGCTTTATGACCTTTACATATTCTTTAGTTGCTGATAGTTTTTATTTAACAGTTTGTGCCAGGGAGTACATCAGAAGTGCTTGTAACATCTGCAGACTCGAGAGTTCGGGTGGTTGATGGTGCTGATCTTGTTCACAAGTTCAAAGGTACATTTGAATTGCTAGAATTACCTTAAATAAAGCTGGTCCGTCGCGTAATGAATTTATAGTTAGTCCCACTTGACCAATTGTATGTAGCAGTCTAAAGCTGGAAAATCCATCCTTTTCCATCATTCTATTCCACCTTATGGATACAATTGTGATTGCACAACTTATGATGGCTTGTAGCTGTTGGGACTTCCCCCTTTCTCTCATGCACCTATTTGGACTTGAGCATCTCATTTTTTTGTATGCTTTCTTTTCTCATCACATTTTTTTGTATGCTTTCCTTTCTCATCACATTTTTTTGTATGCTTTTCTTTCTTACTTTTGTATTTTTTTTGAGATGGGAAAATAAACAATAAAATTTGGGTTGGCAAGGAATGGAAAACAGTGAAAACACTTGTTTACTAAATAAATAATGGATGTTGTAAAAGGTAAAAAATTAATAGGATGTTAATACTTTAGTTCATTGTATTGGGAACATGTATAAGATTTAATAACAAAAATATGTAAGACAGTTGTGACATACTGACATACTCTTGCAAGTCTAAATGCTTTTGCCTCTTGGTTTTTGTCAATCATTGCTTTGAAGTGAAAAAGAAAGTTGTCATTTTATTGTACTTTACCTTTTTGAAATATTGAACTTGGTTGCCGTAATGTAGATTCTATGAGTATGAACTGTGCTCAAATATAAAATTACATAGAAAAGATCATTAACTTTTTAGAACTTACCAAATAGATATCTTGGTTTTTAGAATTGCTCAGGACACTACTATTTTAGTATCCTGTATTTCTTCTGCCTGAATCAGTCGAAGCATTTAGTAATAGACACGAGCTATAAATGATGAAAATGGTTAAGATATTTTGCATCGAGTAGGACATGATCAACTCTCTCACTTCACTTGGTGGACCATAATTTTTCTCACATAACCTGCCTGCTACTGATTTTGTTGGATAGGTAATTGCCTCTACTTATGTTGAAATTTACCTATTGGATGTGAAGATGTTGAAGTCAAATCTAAAGATCTGCTTAGATTTGCCTTAAGTAATAGTTTATCAAAAAAAGGAAAAGAAAAGGAAGGAGTTCCTTCTAGATGGAGAACAAATCTTTGAGATTCAGTGATCTTTTTATTGTGTCCCTTCTGGTGCACTCTGCTGGTTTCATTGCATTTGGCCACAACTTAGTACCATGGCGCCTTGAGCCATTATTGTGTGTTGCTCTTTGATGTTTCTTTTAACTGAGTTAATAAATATTCAGGAACCATATCCATGGTCTTTTAGATATATCGGAATTGTGAGATGTTTGTCATCCTGTAAAACTTCCACTTTTAATTTTTCCTGCTATCCTAGTATTGAGTTGCATCAACCATGACAGGCTTTCGCAATACAAACAGCCAAATCTCAGCTTCTGTGTCTGCTGATGGTAGATATGTGGTCTGTGCCAGCGAGGACTCACATGTCTATATCTGGAAACATGAAGGTGATTCTCGGCCAAGCAGGCATAAAGGTGTTACTATTACACAGTCGTATGAGCATTTCCATTGTCAAGATGTTTCAATGGCCATTCCTTGGCCTGGCATGTCTGATAATTGGAGATTCCCTTATTCCTCTGGGGAACAGAATGGGCATGCTGATCGTCTTGATGAGGTTTCCACTGCCAACCATCCACCTACACCCATTGAAGAGAATGGCAACGAGTGCTCACCGCTGACATCTGGCTGCAGTAACAGTCCTCTTCATGGAACTTTAAGTAGTGCCATGAACAGCTACTTTTTTGATAGATTCTCAGCGACATGGCCCGAGGAAAAACTCTTGTTAGCTACTAAAAATCGTAGTCCTCGTGTCAGCATAGATGCCAGTGTTGACTTCTCCAACGGTTCAAATCACAGCAAGTCTGCCTGGGGTTTGGTCATTGTAACCGCAGGTCGAAGAGGGGAAATCAGGACTTTCCAAAATTTTGGACTACCAATCCGGATTTAGAGGGCCGAGAAGTCTCAGAGAGTTGATCATGATTCCACGCTACACGTTGCTACAGCCAAGTTTGCGAAGTTTGTACAGATATTGGTGAGATTTGTAATGTTAGTGATTTTTCTTTGTTTCTTGTGCTCGTGCCAGTGGTTCTGGGACTAAGATAGGACCCTGCCTGACTAGGCATTGTGAAAGGAACAAAACTGGTCTGGAGGTTGTGGGGGTGGGGGTGGGGGTGGGGGTGGGGGGATATATTATCTGGATATGGGATAATAGAGAAAAAAAAAAGAAAAAAAAAATACACCTTGGTTAGAAACCGATGGTTTTTCTGTAATCGGCAATTGTAGAGTTGAGAATTGTGAAGGTTTATTGAATTGAAACGAAATTCTTTTAGAATTCATTCAACTTCAAGCTGGTTGTGTATACATAAAGTCAATGGAGCTCGAAGTGAGTGGGGTTACTGTTGTCAGTATACTTGTGAATACATTGGTAAATGTAGAGATATATGTATGTAAGTTTTCTGTGGATTCATTTCTTCGACATTATGATTGTCGGGCACTCTCCTCTCCTTTTTCCTCTTTTCTGTCTCTTTGTAGTATGATCGAACATACTCCAATTTGATTAAAAAGGGACCCCCCCAAAAAAAGAACATCTCTTAACACGTAAGGAAAGGGGTGTTTGCCTTGTGGTCGTTGATGCAAAATCAGAATGAAGGCAACGATATGTTTGTCTAACATACAAATGCAATTTTTTTGACGTCACCAATCGATTCTTCATACATGAATAAAGTTGTGCTTGCTTTGTGCAAAGAGACCAACAATCCCTCTCCGGGCACTTGATCGAGGAAAATGTAGAAATATAATTTAACTATTGCAACAGGTAGCCTATCACTTATTTATCGTTTATTTACTGTCACCAATCGATTCTTTATACATAGAATTACTTGCACCTTCTAGGTGACATTATGAAATTTTTTATTCTGCGTCTCATACAACTGACACTAGTTGTATGAGTGTATACGGTCCAAATCAGGTATGCCGATTATCCGTGCTCGAGGGGTCGCCCTAAGCCCGAGTTTAGGAAAGGTCGAGTTCGAGCTCGATGGACCAAACTCGAGCTCGAAGACAGAGTGCAATGCCATAGGATCGAAGTACAATGAGTATCGAAGCCGAGTATGCCCAACCCCGAAATAATGCCGTTATGGATTTGTAACAGAATGAGCAAGATTCCTGCCACGTCCCTAAGATCATGGCCTAAATCCCGGAGCAGACTCGTACGAATCCGTACTAGGCGGTTAGACAACTGTCCCAATAAGATTCTTTACTGTAAATGGAAATGTACCTTATTTAGGGTTCCCCTATTATATAAAAGGGACCCAATCATGTGTAAATATCATCTAATTATTGGCAAAGAATATACTCTCTACTTTTCGCTCATTGTTCATCAAAATTATCCTTTAGCTTTATTGTTCTTGCTTTATTATTCTTGATTCATCTCGAGGTCACTGAGCTCGAGGTCGATACTGTTAAGTAACACTGGTTTGATTCACTCATTTCTTTCATTTCTACTTTATAGTATCTGATTATTAATTGGTATTGAACTAAATCACATAAAACCACAAATTAAATTTAATTGTTAATCGTATTTTCAAGGTAAACAGTTTGGCGCCCACCGTGGGTTTAAAGATAATAGTGATTATTTTAGTACTGATTCTCATAACACACATTATTTTTACACTTTTTCTTGTCAAGAATTTTTGATTCTCAGGATTAAAACATGTCAAACTCGCAAAACGCATCTGTTCATGACAACGAAAGTCTTGGATTTCATGGGCAAAACAACAATGTAGGGGTCAGTGTACCACCGATAAACCCCGGGGAAGTGCCAAATATGGAACTAGTTGATGTTAGTTCGCACATTGCTTTGAATGCAGATTTAGGCGCAGACCCCGGAGGAAGTGTACGCAGGAAGGCCCGATCTGGGGGCCAAGGAACACAAGGTATAGGAGATGGGGGAGTCAGCCTCCAAGTTATATTCGAGATGCTGCAAGCCCAGCAGATTGCCATCGCTCAACTTCAGAGTCAGAATAAAACTCCGAGTATAGCCGAACCAGAAAACACTCGACGTGCTGAACCGGCGCCAGAGAGGTCGAACGAAAATGGCTCGGGGACTGACCCCACCATTATGAGAATGCTCAAAGATCTCACCAAGAGGATCGAGTCTGGGGAAAAGAAGATTGAGGACAATGATAAAAAGGTGGAGACTTATAACTCCCGTGTTGACCAAATACCGGGGGCACCTCCGGTTTTGAAAGGTTTAGATGCCAAAAAGTTCATACAAAAATCATTCCCTCAGAGCGCGGCTCCGATGACCATTCCTAAGAAGTTTCACATGCCCGATATACCCAAATATAACGGGACAACCGACCCTAATGAGCATATTACCTAATATACTTGCGGGATTAAAGGAAACGACCTGAATGATGATGAGATCGAGTCACTATTGTTGACAAAATTTGGGGAAACTTTGTCGAAAGGAGCCATGATTTGGTATCACAACTTGCCTCCTAACTCTACTGATTCGTTTGCTATGTTAGCAGACGCCTTCATGAAAGCACACGCTGGGGCCATAAAGGTGGCGACGAGGAAATCAGACGTTTTCAAGATAAAACAGAGGAAAACGATGAGATGTTGTGAGAGTTCGTGTCTAGGTTTCAGATGGAACGAATGGAATTACCACCGGTCTCGGATGACTGGGCAGTACAAGATTTTATGCAAGGTTTGAATGAAAGGAGTTAGATTGTGTCTCAACAATTAAAGCAGAATCTGATCGAGTATCCAGCTGTGACGTGGTCGGACATGCATAATCATTATCAATCAAAGATCAGGGTCGAGGACGACCAGTTGGGAGCCCCCTCGGGATCAGTTCATCCTAATAGATTGGCAGTCGAGCCCCCGGGGGATACAGACAGGGAATCGAGGTCAAACAAGGAATGGTATCAGCCGTATGTCGATCGAAGAAACAACGGCTCGGGCCGTAACGCTCCTCGGAATGATCGAGGTCAAAGCTCTCGGGGACTCATGAGTAAAAATGGGTTCGATAAACATACCGACCCTGCAGAGGCACCTCGACTGACGGAGTATAATTTCAGCGTAGATGCATCAGGGATCGTGTCAGCTATTGGAAGAATCAAATACACCAGATGGCCCAGGCCCATACAAACCGATCCTTCTCAAAGGAATCCAAACTTGATGTGCAAGTATCATGGCACACATGGTCATAGAACCGAAGATTGCAGGCAGCTAAGGGAGAAGGTAGCTCGATTGTTCAACGAGGGTCACCTTGGAGAATTTCTCAGTGATCGAGCCAAGAACCACTTCAATGAGAGAGATGCAAGCAGGAAAAATGAACAGGAATAACCACAACATGTAATCCACATGATCGTTGGTGGTGTAGATGTCCCTCAAGGACCTGTATTCAAACGCACCAAGGTATCGATCACCAGAGAAAAACGGACTCGGAGCTATGTGCCCGAGGACGCCTTATCATTCTATGACGAGGAAGCAGAAGGCATATCTCAGCCGCACAATGATGCCCTGGTAATTTCTATCCTTTTAAACAAAATTCAAGTTAAACATGTTCTAGTGGATCCAGGTAGATCTGCAAACATAATCATATCAAGGGTCGTAGAACAGCTCGGCCTACAGGATCAGATTGTACCTGCGTCCTGGGTCCTAAATGGCTTCAACATGGCAAGCGAGACAACAAAAGGGGAGATAATCCTCATAGTAAATGTAGCCGGGACCATACAAGATACGAAGTTCCATGTTATCGAAGGCGACATGAGGTATAATGCACTCCTCGGGAGACCATGGATACACAACATGAGGGCAGTACCTTCAACTCTTCATCAGATGATGAATTTCCCAATAGAGGATGGAGTGAAAACGATTTACGGAGAGCAACACGCTGCAAAGGAAATTTTTGCAGTCGATGATGTGACGCCAATACCAGATCCTTTGACCTCGAAAAAGTAGAACACCAAAGAAAAACAGGCGTCTAAATAGCAATCACCGCCTCCAGCCTCGACGGAATCGGAGCAACAGGTAATCGGAGACGAAGAAGAGGATTTCCTTACTCCTCGAACTTTTGTCGTTCCCAAAGAGTCTGATGCAACCAAGTCAACGGTCGAGGAGCTGGAGCAGGTCATACTGATTGAATACATGCCCGAGAGAAAGGTATACCTGGGAATGGGATTAACCCCCGAACTCAGGAAAAAACTCATTCAATTTCTTATTGATAATATGGATTGCTTTGCTTGGTCCCATATAGATATGACAGGGATCCCACCGGAAATAACAACACACCGGCTAAGCCTCGATCCCAGGTTCAAACCAGTAAAACAAAAAAAGAGGCCCTAGTCCGAGGTGAAGCATGCATTCTTAAAGGACGAGGTAACCAAACTTCATAAAATAGGGTCTATTCGGGAGGTAAAATACTCCTAATGGTTAGCCAACGTAGTTGTAGTTCCTAAAAAAGGAAACAAGCTTAGAATGGGCGTAGATTACAAGGATTTAAACAAAGCATGCCCAAAAGACTCTTTCCCACTGCCCAACATCGATCGTATGATCGATGCCACGACCGGCCACGAGATCCTAACTTTTCTCGATGCCTACTCCGGGTACAATCAAATTCAGATGAACCCGGAAGACCAGGAAAAGACCTCATTTATCACTAAATTTGGAACTTATTGTTACAACGTAATGCACTTCGGGCTAAAAAATGCAGGAGCTACATACCAACGCCTAGTTAAAAAAATGTTTGAGGAACAGATAGGTAAATCGATGGAAGTTTACATTGATGATATGTTGGTTAAGTTCCTGTGCGCAGAGGACCATTTAACTCATTTGCAGGAAACATTCAAAATTTGAGGAAGTACAACATGAAGCTTAACCCGGAAAAATGTGCCTTCGGAGTCGGCTCGGGTAAGTTCCTCGGCTTCATGGTGTCGAATCGGGGTATCGAAATCAACCCCGACAAGATCAATGCCATCGAGGATATCACGGTCGTGGATAGTGTGAAGGTCGTGCAAAGGATAACAGGACGAATAGCTGCCTTAGGTCAGTTCATTTCGAGGTCATCAGATCGAAGTCACCGTTTCTTTTCCTTGCTCAAAAAGAAAAAGGATTTCGCGTGGACCCCGGAATGCCAGCAAGCCTTAGAA